GCAACGAAGAAAAATGCACTTTATCCAAAGTTCTCTGCTATGGCAGGTATGATAATTGTCAGTGTCAAACCGTAAACTTGGTACATTCCCAGACGGTGCGATGCCAAGAATTATCATAACTCGGACTTCGGACAATGTGCATTCAACTAGGTCGTCATGACAACACGAGTGAGTTGCGAAAACGAGGTTAAATCACTTCTATAGGGTGAAAGGAGACTGAGACCAAAACAGAGTCAGCAACATGCTGGCTTTCATGTCAACGATTGATCTACCGATACTTTTGAAACATATTTACACAACAAAGTCCATTTTTATTATAAGAGATGAGCTCACCCTATTTCGTTTAAGTGGACACGGGGACGAGTAATTGAATTTTTCCCACAATTATATGAATGTACCCTACATTTCCGTTGAATTGCACATAATCTTGCATTCCCAAAAGGTATGCTTATTCCGGATGGAGTGGACTGCCGTTTTGACATCGCAGGCGGGATTCGAACCAAGACACTGCACCGTATGATCTCGACACGTTGGCAACTACGCCAGACTGCACGAGGGCCCTTAAGCCAGGTATTTCCCCATATCATATTCTGTGGTGGGAGTTTCGATGAAGCAAACCCATATTTGCTGTAAAAATCGAAAAAATTACTTATTTTTCAAAATTGTTTAGCAGACCTCCATTCCGACTGTCATATGTCGAACATCATCAGAGCAAGGTATTATCTTTACAACCAAAGTGAAGCTAACGAGTCAAGAAAACTCATCGGTTCATCCTCAAAAGGCTGTTTATATACTCTATGTCTGACCTCTTTGATGAGGTCAAATTGATTTGGTTAGCTGCAGTCATATGGCAACTTCACAGCTTGTGAGTGTGTCTAAAGGTTAATATATGACTAGAACTAACCAAATCACTTTATGCCTCATCAACGAGGCCAGATGTAGAGTATATATTCCACTTTTTAGGGATGAGTCGGCGAGTTTTCTTGACTCATTGGCTTCAATTTGGTTGTGACGATGATACCTTGCTCTGATGATGTTGGTCATATGACGGGCGAAAGCTTAGCACGTTTTCACCAAGATCGAATAAGATTACCACGGAAACAGCGTCCGCAAGAATGTTCCAGTAAAGCCAATCGACAGTTGGGAAAGAGGAGTCCGCCGTCGTCTTCTGGTGGAGCCGACCTTCGAATCTCTTCACCAGATGCCTCCGCTCAAAATGGAAGTAAGCTCAACAATTATGAAATGAAAGACTGCTTCGAACCCAAATTTTCTTTGCATATACCTATTTTTCGTTTGTAAGTTGGGTTTTTAGACTATTTCTATTGTCGCCTCGGCTGGAAATAGCGATTACAACTGTACAAAGTCAAATCGGCATTGACGACCTAGCAACTGCAACTCGAGGCCTAGTTGCCTTCTTTGGCGGCTGTGGGTTTCGCCTATTTCCGAGACGGACATGCAGCATTTCTCAACTGTCCAGCTGAAACCGACTCGACCTTGCACCTGGGACACGTAGCAACGTGGTGGAGCCACGTGCCAGAGTAGCCTCGAACTTCACTCTCGTCTCAAATCTGCCTGACCGGCACTTTATGATTCTGCTTTTCCGGCTGGCCTCGGCGTTCTCTTTGCACCCAAGCAAGCTGACGGCGGGTCAAGACGGTGTGACGCGGGTTGCCGCCTCTGTTGGGGTCACGGCTGCCGGATCTACGGCACTCAGGCAGCAATGCACCAATGCCGTTCCGGCTGTCGTGATGTGGTACGAGGTGTTTGCGGGCGTGGTTATGTGTCTACACTCTGGCAACACTGACGATGGACCCACTAACATTAGAGCTTCTGCAGCACTTTTAACGACGCATGCAGTGTGCCGCGATTCTTTACACCCCAGACTATGGACAGTCGGACGCCTTGGAGCAAAAGGGTTGAAGAGTTTTATGCCAGAAGTGATTTTGGTCGAGGCTAAACTTAACGCACAAAAGTGCGAGAAGATGCCGGCTCGGATAAGAGAAGCTCTTGGGAGGCAAGGCCATGAGCAATTCTTTCGACTCGTAATTTTCGTTTAAACGTATGTTTTCGAGACTGCCAGTAGATCATATACAAGAAGTGGATTCATTTAATTTGATGAGGGGGCTGGCAGTTGAATTCTCCAAAAATCACGTGGGTAGACCTTAGGTTTAGCATCATTTACAAGCAATTATAAAAACCTACCTATAAAAGAAAAAATGTTTAATCTAGCCGATTGCTATAGCAAATACATCTTTGCTTAATCAACAATCCCACCACAAAATGCGATATGGGAAAATGGCTGGCCTTCCTTGAAAGTCACATCTGTCCTCTGTCCCAAAGGCGCTTGTGGCAGTGTGGCGTAGTGAAACGCTGCGGTGTCATGCTTCGAGTCCCGCTGGAGGTGCTGCATTCCACCCTGGATGAGGATAACTTTTGGGAAAGACAAGCTATGTGGAGTTCAATGTAAACGTCAGCTCTATTCATATCATTGTGGGAAAATTCTTCTTCTACCAGTTCTTCATCGCCTTAAAACGAAATTAGGTGAATACATCTCATATTACTGATTTACTAGTAGTCTCGAAAATCCGCTTATATACAAAAAATAAGTAATGTAGTCGATTGTTATAGCAAATATAAACTTTAATTCATCTACACTCCCACCAAAGAATGTGATATGGAAATGAGTAATCTCCGTAGAACTTCACATCTGCTCTGTGATTGATGAGCTTACTTCCATTTCGAGTGAAAGTGTTTGGTGAAGAGATTCGTAGATCGATTCCATCAGAATACCACGACAGTTTCCGCTTGACCAGCTGTCGATTGGCCTTAGCAAAACATTCATGTTGGCGCTCTTTCTCAAGTAATCTCCTTCGATTCCGTTGAAAAGGTGCTAAGCTTTCGTCCGTCATATGACGAACATCATCAGAGCAAGGTGTCATCGTCACAACCAAATTCAAGCTAACGAGTCAAGAAAACACACCGGCAAATCCCTAAAAAGTGGTATATATACTCTACACCTGGCCTCTTTCGTTGTGACGATGATACCTTGCTCTGATGATGCTCGTCATATGACGGACGAAAGCTAAGCACCTTTTTACCGGAATCGAAGTAGATTGCCTCGGAAACAGCGTCAGCATAAATCTTCCAGTAAAGCCAATCGACAGCTGGTCAGGATGAATCCGCCGTCGTCTTCTGGCGGTACAGAC